TAATAATAATAATTATTATTATTATTATTATTATTATTATTATTATTATTATTATTATTATTATTATTATTATTATTATTATTATTATTATTATAAATGGGAGAGTGTTGGCCTAGTGGGTGCACTTGTGGTTTGACAATGCTGAAAGTAACCGGCCTGATCCCTACAGCCTGCAATCTGGGTCCCTGAGCAAAACCCTTAACCCCACACTTACATTTTATTTTATTTTATCTTTTTAAAGGTATTATTATAATGATGATGTTTCATCATAGAGAAATTTACTAAAACTAGTCTGAAAAGAATTAAAACACAGTTTTCTTTAGTAATTTACTGAGAAAAGGCAGCTTTGAAATCGGACAACAGTTACCAAAGCTGTCGAGATTGTGTTTTAACGACATGTTTTAGACTTCCTTATATCTAATAGAATATCACTGATTTAACAACTGGAATGATTTGCTTTTCTACGTCACTCCTGAAAAAGATATTTATAATTTTGCAATGTTCTGAAGATGATAGAATGAAAGTATAAATCTATTCAATATGTTAAAGGAGAAGTCCTGATCAAAAATAACACCATGGTTTTACACAATATTGTTGTAGGCTAATTATTTCTACCCAATGGAGCAACTGACTAACTAGTCTTATTTACAAGGACTCAGATGCAAATCCAATAACTTCTGTTTTGTCTGTTTTATCAATTGGCTTTGGACAAACCAATAAAGCAGACAGAAAGATTGTTGCAACTGTTCTTCCTCTTCCCCCCTTGATTTTCTTGTCATAATAAAATGTAAATAACAAGGAGTTAAATGAATAATCCTCTTGCTGCAGCCAAGTTTCTGTAAGACAAATACATCAATGTTATTATCAGAAATCTAAGCATTGACATTATTATGTTCAATAAGCAAGATTCTAACATTTGTTCAGCATGGCACTGTTGTGATTTTATTTTCACTGCTCATCCAGGGATGCCACATTATTGTTGTGGATTTACATTCTTATCAATTCCCAGCCAGCTGGGGATTTATATTTCTGACACTTTAAGTTGTTTATTGCCCTCCCCGGTAGGGCTGGTAAATATCTTATTTAATCAGATATTATTTCGGCTGTTATATATCGTTTGTGAACACACGCCCTACTAGCTGTGTGTTAGAACAATAAATGAAAGAGTGATTCGAGCACTAATCACGGTCAAACAGTTAATTCTACACATACATGGAATAAATTCACCACAACTTCTCTTCAAAATATGAGTTTATTAACAAAAATCAACCATTTCCATCCATGGATGGATGGATGGAGATGGATGGCATTCAGCTCCAAGTCAAACATATTTCAGTTTAAAACTCTTAACTAAAACTAGCGAAACTCAATCAAACTAAACAACTATGTACAAAGAGGAAGAGGAACATGGCTGAGAACCATATTACAGTTTAAGATGGATTTGTGTTTGAAAACCAAAGTTTATCTGGAAGAATTTGGGATATGATCAAATTAGCTTTTCACTAATTTTAAAGAAATTGGAATGTTTCCAGACCAATTCACAATGCAAATCCATGAGGTGAATAAAACATTATTTGGCCAAATATTGTTTTATTAAATGATTTGCTTAATAAGAAACCAATAACCTTTAGTCAAATTATTCTTTACCTCGGTTGCAGAGGTCTTATAGCTGCTTATTCACTAAACTTGTCTCATCTCTGGTCATCATGTCAATATGAAATATGGACACTGGTTCCCAATGTCCAAAAACCATGATGTCATGATGTTACAAAGTTCTGACCCAAAAATGCAGATAACAGAACAGAGAGTCCAGGGAAAAGGTTTAACGGG